CCTATCAATATTATATAAATGTAATTATTTATCTAATTATCTTTTGAAGATTTTATATTTTAGTCGGTCGAAATGTTTTCTAATTTCTAAATTTACCATCAATTTCATAATTATCTCAATCGATTGAATTCGTCCTCAAAATCGATTGAATATATATACTTTTTGCATTATAACTATACCTGACACCAGACCATCCCGAATCTGAAACAATTTGAAATCCAAAACCTAAATTGTTTTCATATCTGAAATCCAATCAGACTTTTGGTTTGCACATTCGAACATGCCCAACTCGTCTGAAGCACAACCATCACAAATTTTATGAACCAAAATTGAAATCGACAAATAAATCTTATATAATTCTAGAATAAAAAAATATTTGATTTTTAATTTAATTCCGAAATCCACAACACATATTTCAACGGATTCTGTAAAATATTGTTTATTTGTCATTTTGTAACGTTCAGGAACGTTGATAGTGATTTTTGTCCAAAAATATCTCTGGTTTTGTTTTTTTTTTTAAATAAATTTTAGATATTATTATTTACTAGAATGATATTCACACAATGCAACGATATATATCTCTATATATCTCGATTTTAATGTTTTATTTTATTTTTTGTGTTTTCAGTCGATATTATAATACGATTTTATGTGGTTTTGAGAAAAAAATAATATTATTATTTATAAATAAAATATAAATTAAGATATCATAAAAAAAATAAAAAAAAATTTTGAGTTTTGATTTTTGATTTTTTATTTTATAAAAATTATAAAAAATCTTATTAAATTTTTATCTGAGTTCTTAATCTGATATCAGAACAAAAAAGAAAAAAGAAAATGGAAATCCTGAAACCGACCTCCACTTATAAAATTATTAGTCAAAATGTTGTGTCACAGTGACCACATGCCAAATTCAGGATTGTAAATCTTGAGAAAATAAAGTGTAAAAACTTTTATAATCCAATATCGATACTTATATTATTATAAAGTATTTAATAATAAAAAATTAAAAACCATTTTTTATGTATTAAGTATTGTTTATTGATACATATTACTTAAAATTCAAAATTACAAGTAAATTATACGTAAATACAACTTATTAAAGTTTCATGTTTGAATTTGTATAATTAACTGCAGATCAACATAATCAAATAGAATATGAATATTTTATTTTAAATATAAAAAATCTAATATATAATTAGAATAATCATTAAATTCTAACAAAATACTTAATTATTATCTTTATAAAAAATTATATTATTAAACCAAAAAAAATTTAAAAAAAATACCAAAAAACGTTTAATTTTAAATGGTTAGTTTGATATTAATATCTTAAAATCTAAATGTTACATTTAAAATATTGTTTTTCTTGAAAATTTAACATTAATTAAATTAAAATTAAAATTCAAACAAGTTGACAGCCCCTTTTTATTTAACTTTTAGTTTTTCTAATTTTTTTTGATATTTTCAATTCAATCATCTTGTTTTCATGTTTTATAGGAATAAATTATCATTTCATTCATTTTGATGTTTTATAAAGTTATAATCCTAATAAACTTCAAAAAATTTATATAATAAAAACGAAGTTTGTTAATAATACATCTTTTAGTAGCCGTTTACCAAATGCTTACTCGGGTAAGCATTTTGGTTTAATAATATATTTTTTTATAAAAATAATAATTAAGTATTTTGTTGGAACTCAATGATTATTCTAATTATATTTTAAAATTTTTATATTTAAATTGAGATGTTTATCCTCTATTTAATTATGTTTATCTGTAGTTAGTTATACGAATTCAAGCATTAAGCTTTAATAAGCTGTAATTACACAAAATTTACTTGTAATCTTGAACTTTAAATAATATACATCAATAAACAATACTTCATGCATAAAAAATGGTTTTTAAGAGTTTTTGTCAAATGTTTTATAATATAGTATAGATTTTATGTTTGTTCCAAGATAAGGTCATCTTTGGCAAACATAAGCTAGCTCATAAGTGTCTTATTTCAAAAATAGATTACTAAATTTCACGTCTACCTTAATTAATGCACAAAAATTTTCAAGAGTTGTAGAAAAGATAAATTAATTAAAGGTAAAATTGTCATTTGGTTATCTGAAAGATATAACAATTATGCATGTTTAAAAGTGTATGTCATTTATATGTGTAAATTCTCAAATCAAACTTAACTAATGCCTTAATATTAAGGGTCACATAGAGAGATAAATTAATTAAGAGTAAAGTTATCATTTGGTTGATTAAAAAATGTAACAACTATATATACGTAAAACTTTACATCATTTCCCTTATGAACACCTTATTTTTGAATGAATGGAGTAATAACTAAACTTTAATGGTATCCAACATTTAACAATATTCCAGAGCATAATTAGAAGAAAGTGATAAAAAAAAACTCATGTACCTTATTGAAACGTTATTTCAGGTTGCCTTTTAATAAGATAGCTTATAACAATATCTCTCCAATAGATTATCCAAATTGAAGAAAATTAAGATTTTAGAGATGTTGGACAAGATACAGATTCTTTAAAATCATCGTCCAAAATTGAGAATATAAGACAGGGTGTGTGGAATTTCTTTAAATTTAGAGGAAGTCTTAGAAAATGATTACAATAAAAGAGAATTTTACTTATTTATTATATTACTACTAATAACAAACTTTGAAATTAAATATTTATGAGAAATAAATAATACTTTGTTAAATATATAAATATTTTAATAATATAATCAATATTTTAATCTCTCCAAAATGAGAAGTTGTTGGAGTTAAATTAATATTTTTGCAGATTTCAAATTTTGATTATCTATTTTAGAAGAAAATTTAGAGAATTTGTTGAAGATGCTCTAAGTTAATATATTGTTGCCAGACATCGCCTGAATCTATGTAAGGATATGTTTCTTAGCAGGTTAATAAGTTTAATGAGGCTCACAACTTATTTAGTTGATTATACATGACTGTTTGATAGTGACTTACTGACATAAAAAATGGATTATTTAGTAAACTCCTAGAGGGGAGCTTTATGCAGAAAACCACTTTTTTTTCTTCCAAATTTGTCTCTTCCTTAAAAAACATGTTCCTTCCATCTATGAAAAAACTCTCTCAAATAAAAATTCTCATAATTTATACAAACAGATTAATTCTCACAAACAATTTTACACATACATAATTAATTGAAAAACCAACCAAACAACCCCTAAAAAATGTTGGACTAATGATATTTTAACAACCAAAAGTTAACTTAACTTTTGATTTTATTAAAGATTTCTCGATTATAAACTAATTTATTGAAAAGTTACTTAAATAAATTTTCAATTAATTTTTAATATTTTTTTTGTCATTTTATGTTATTATCTAATTTATTAGCTAGTTTTATCAAGCATATCAATTAATAACAGATTTTTCAATTAACAACTAATTTATTAATAAACAACTGACTTATCGGTTAGTTTTTTAAACAAAACATGACTTTTTAACAATTAAAAAAATAATATATTAGAGCATATCAAACAGAGTCTTTAAAATAAAAATAAAAACTTGAACTTTTATCCTCCATCTTGTTTCAACAGATTTTATATATTGTTTTCTAAAATTTTAAAAATAATTAGAAAAACTCCAGATACATATATATACATATATATATATATATATATATATGAAACTTGATATAATTTTTTTTATTTATTTCAACCCATAAAACAAAAACTATTATTTTCTTATTTTACAGTTTTTTTAAATGTATATTTGAAAATAAAACCCTTAATAATATAATGAATGTTTAAATATTTAAAATAAAATATATATTTTTTATAGTTTTAAACTTAAGTTGTCTATTTTAGTAAAATTATAAAAAATCTTTTAAAGATAAATTAATTTAAAAATGAATTATCTTTAAAGATATACTGAAAATCTAACTTAAAGGTTGTTTGACGGTTAATGAATTATCTGACATGAGCTCTACAAATAGCAGTTTTTATGAAAGACAACTGTCTGTTAGGAAGAATTCAGTCTCAAACTCAAGACTTTAGAAGAGAAAAGGTAGCATGTCTTTTGGTAAGCCCTTGAAGTCAAGCTAGGCATAACACTTTAACCACTCTTAAGCAAGCTTGTAGCCGAGTTCCAGAAAGCACCTAGTTGGATGGTTTGGTACAAAATGATTATGTGGTGAAAATAATTAAGAGACTTTTAACCACAAGGGTGGTGCCTGATTGGTTTGAACTTGACTCTAAAGGTCAAAAGTATCAGGAGGTCTCAAGTTCAAATCCAATGAGAAACAAAAATCCTCCTGTGGCCACCGAGATTCAAATGCGGTGACTCCGAACTATCTGTAAAGCAGGTGGTTGTCCTGGGATTAGACGGCTCGCATAACAGGTTGTATATCCAAATTAATAAAAAAAAAAAATTATAATTATTTGATAATTGTTCATAATGAAACTAGGGCTGGTTTAGAAAGATTCAAACTTCAAAATATTTTAAAACCATTAAAAAATATATTTTTTAATCAAACAAAATTCATTTATTAATGATTCAAAAACTAATTCTTAATAAAATTATTAAAAGTTGGAAAAAAATGGTCGACAAATTCACCGATCCAAACCCATCAAGAAAATGATCGGTATGTACAAGAAAACGGATTTGTTGCAAGCGATGACACATGGCCTAGCTGGACAAACACCATTGCTGTTACTTTCAAAGTTTTTGAGCCCTAATTAAACACTGTAGCAACATCCAAAAACAATTTGGATAATAACTACTCCAATTTTCTTTAAACATATCATAATTACACTCGTCCTCTTGCCAATTTTTTAAAGATTCTCTCAATTCTAGAAAAGCAATGAGTAGGTTTATGGCAAAAAGGACCCCACGTTTTGAGTTTTTCAATAAGAAGTGAAGAAGGGTCTTTGGGGGCAGAGGGATCTTTTGATTGTGTGTTTTAGCAGTAATCGCCCACCATGTGCGCCCCTTCATTTCTTTAATTCAAAACAAATGGGGATTTCACTTTGACTCCTTAATATTTGCTGGTTTTTTAGGGTTAATTTTTGGAATCTTCTGGCGGGTTTTATGTCAGAGCTGCTGCAATAATAGCTGTTAAGTGGGTAGTTGTTCTTCAATTGTGGAGGGGTTGACCTAAATTTATTGTCTTAATTTGGGGTTTTCTTGTAGTTTTCTCAAGTGGGTTAGAGATCATTTTGTTTCGTTTTCGTTATGTAATGTGGGTTTTGAACTTGGTTGATTTGATTGATGCTAGATTTGAGTTTAGGATTTGTGAAGTTGGTTTCTGCTACTGATTTGGGTAAAAGTTTTAGGGTTCTTGGAGTTCGATTTGTGTTTCGTTGACTTTTCTACGTAGTGCATTGGTGAAACAGTGTGGTGATTGAGGGTTTATACTCTCTTAAAGGTTTTGATTTTGCTTTTAAGTTTCAAAGATGGCGTGTATGAAGTTAGGGTCCAAAGCAGATGCCTTCCAGAGAAAAGGCCAAGCTTGGTATGTTCTTCAATCTCTGTAGTTTCTATCATTCTTTCTGATCTATTTTGGATATATATATATATATATATATATATATGTATATGTGTGTGTATAATATATGTTTATGGCTGTATGTATGTGTACAAAGGGTATGATTGAGGCATAGAGGTTGTTTCAGTGAAGAACTATACGTATCTGTATGTGTGTATGTATATATAGAGGGAGATTATATATGAAACAACATCGTATGAACGCTGAATGCTTCACATATGTCATGAAACAACACATGATTCACATGATTGTAACATATTTTTGCGGCTTTCTGTTGTTTTTTCCTATAGTAACCGGTACGTTTGGAAAAATGCTAAGGGGAGGAGTCTTGATTTACTGATTCACCTTGTAACGATCGAGTATATGCCCTGTTTTGAGTTTTTACGAAGAATTTGATTGTGGGAAAATTTTAGTAAGATGATGCATTTACTGTGATCTGGGACTTGATCCACAAACATATATGTTAAAAATGGTACTCATATTGCTATAATTCATCAGGTTACTTTCGATGCCTAATCTTTATCGGGTGTTTTTCTTTTATAAAATCAAATTCAAAATTTTGGTTTTTCGAAATTTAAAGGACCAAATCAATGTTGAAGTTAAAAAAGTAATGTGCTTTACCTCAAAAGTCAAAGGGGAATTTTGTTAGGACAGCGGAAACTTGATTGTATCGAGCAATTAAACCAAACAAAACAAGCCCAATGTATCCCATCGGAAAGCTAGGGGTGGCCGGGTGGAATGTACACAAACCCGACCTCATTGATCTGATTGCATATGGGGTATGATTTCATGTTTAACACCAAAAATTGATTTGATTACCACATTGTTATCCAAAAATTAAAAGAACCCATATCAAAGTTGGAAGTTCAGACCGACATCGAATCTCAAAAGTCAAAGTGTACGTTTGTTTTGACTTTTTTTGTTGACCAACGACCATAAGATCTACACGGGAATTGCCTTTACATATGCATTGTTATCGACTCAAGTAATTGTCTTGAATGTTATGATGCTTCGTTTACTTTGGGTTTCTACCGAGACTCTACCTCTGACCGGGATATGCTGGTTTGATATCGTTTTCTTCAAAGTGATTCATTTGGTGTATTACTGTGAGTTATTCGTATGGCTTTTTTCATTGGCGGGTTGATATATTTGTGATTTTGCGGCTTAATTTCTCGTAGACTAACTTGAATATCCGAATATGAACATTTTTGTAGGTTTTGCACAACCGGCCTCCCAAGTGATATTGTCGTTGAAGTAGAGGATATGTCTTTCCATCTCCATAAGGTACCCTTTATTGTTTCATCTACTCTTCATTAGTTGTTATGCTTTGACTCACGGAAAAAGCCTCTCTACTCTTTATGGTAGAGGAAATGTCTGCTTACATCCCACTCTTTAGACCCTACTTCCAAGTGGCATAATCTGAGTTTGGTTTGTTTGGTTGACTTTGACGGTCAAACGAACAACTTAATAGTTTCAAAAGTTATGTGCATGTATATAGTTTTCGATAAAAATTCAGGAAGTACGTCAAAAAGGGTACGAAGTGCTTAAAATATGAAATAATTGATGTTAGAAATGTAACATTAAATGCCAAAATTATAAATTTAGCATTCGATGTAAATATTTTGAGAACGGTAAGGAACAACTATTCATGATGAATATCATGAATGAGTATTCTTGAATGATATTCATTACGAATAATATTCATGTATATTTATCACGAATAGATGGTTCTCATTGTTCTCGCGGTTCCTAAATGAACTTTCCCTTCCTGTGCATAGTGTACATTTATCTTCGGAGCATTTTGCATCCATAAGTGCATACACGATCTTAACGTCTTTTTGTGTAAATCGTGATGCAGTTTCCTTTGCTTTCAAGAAGTGGGGTTATGGAAAGACTGATCGCAGATGCATCGGAACATGGAGACAGCGGATGTACCATAAGCCTCCATGACGTTCCCGGTGGGGCCAAGACTTTCGAACTCGTTGCTAAGTTCTGCTACGGAGTAAAACACGAGATTACTGCTGCCAATGTCGTACACCTTCGTTGTGCTGCCGAACATCTCAAAATGAGTGAAGAATACGGTGAGGATAACTTAATCTCGCAAACGGAAATGTTCTTGAATCAAGTAGTTCTCCGAAATTGGAAGGATTCTCTGAGATCACTCCAATCGTGTGTCGATGTTCTTTCGCATGCCGAAGAGCTTAACATTACTAAACGGTGCATCGAGTCGTTGGCGGTGAAGGCGAGCACCGACCCAAACTTGTTCGGTTGGCCCGTTGTCGAGCATGGCGGGCCCATGCAAAGCCCTGGCGGTAGCGTGTTGTGGAATGGTATAAGCACCGGCGCCCGACCAAAAAACGTGAGCTCGGATTGGTGGTACGACGAGGCTTCGACTTTGAGTTTACCGCTTTACAAACGGTTGATTTTGGCTATGGAAGCTCGCGGAATTAAACAAGAGATCATCGCCGGTTCTCTTGCGAATTACGCAAAGAAGTACTTGCCGGGGTTAAGTCGCCGGAAAAGTGCACCAGTGGGCCCAACCGAGCCACCGTCCGAAGACGATCAGAAACTTTTACTCGAAGATATTGACCATTTACTTCCGATACAAAAAGGGCTCGTTTCAACAAAGTTCTTATTCGGGCTTCTACGAACCGCACTAATTCTCCGGGCTAACCCGACTTGCATATCGAATTTGGAAAAACGAATCGGGCTGCAGCTCGATCAGGCGACTCTCGAAGATTTATTGATGCCGAATTTTTCGTATTCGATGGAAACTTTATATAACATCGAGTGTGTGCAGCGGATGCTCGAGCATTTTAAGGCGGTTGATCAGGCGACGGGTGGTGCATCTCCTTGTTCGATCGAGGATGAACAGTTGTTAGGTTCACCGTCTTTGACCCCGATCACGATGGTGGCCAAGCTCATTGATGGCTATTTGGCCGAAGTTGCACCCGATGTTAATTTGAAGCTTCCGAAGTTTCAGTTGCTTGCGGCTGCTGTCCCGGAGTATGCTCGACCGTTGGATGATGGCCTTTATCGTGCAATAGACATTTATTTGAAGGTAATTCTTATGATGATACTTTCTCAATCCCAAAACAAGTGTCTACATTTCTGTTTTAGTTTGTTACAAAATAAGTGGCCACTTTCAAAAAAGTAAGTGACTACTTTTCAATTCTACCCTTACTATGAGATGGAGAAATTCATTACTCCCTCTATTGTAAAGGATAAAATTGTCGTTTACTTAATTAAAAGGGTAATAATTACACATTCCTAAAAATGCATGCCTTTTTCATTCTATATTTATTTTGGGACAGAAAGAGTTGTAAAGGGCTGTTCATTTTGCGTCACTCGGACTTAAGGGTTCACGTTCATGCCAAATGGGTGCTCTTGTATCCACGCGTGTTTGACCCACGGTTGATCGGTATACTCATAGATCTAGCCAACCGGGCCCGTAAGAAAAGAGCAAAGAGAACACAAAAGCTCTTCGATACTCCCTCCGCTCCAAAATAATCCATATTTCTAATTAGTTTATTTTTAAAAGTAAGAGTCAACTTTCAAAAGTAATGCTTATTTTCCAATTTTAACCATAATTACGAGACGGGGTAATTCATTGCTCTCGTTATTATTAAGGGTAAAACTGTCATTGTGAACATTTATTTTAGGAGGGAGGGAGTATAATTCTTGACATATCCGTTTAATTTTTGTTTGATTCCCAGCCCGACACCGATCATCAAACCTGTATATATGTAGGAACATCCCCTCTCTATGGCTTTTTTTTATACACATTCAAAGGGGTTCCGCTTTTGTATGGTCACTTGTTCATCATTTGGATTTGAGGTCTTGTACACCCCAAACACGTAATCTAAGAAAAACGTATTACTTAAATGTCTAAAATACCCTTTAGTGACGACAGAATAGAGAAATCATGTGTACGATGCGCCGCTAAATAACTTTAGCTTGAAAACTTGCCATAAAAGGACGTAAGGGAGTATGTAAAAGATCACATTACCGTTTCTTTGATGGGTACTTTGAAGGGTATTTTCGTCCAATCTGATTCGTGCTGGTTGTTTTTCACAAATGCAGTCTCATCCTTGGTTAGCAGAGTCCGATCGAGAACAACTCTGCAGACTCATGGACTGCCAGAAACTATCATTAGAAGCCTGCACGCACGCCGCACAGAACGAACGACTCCCGTTAAGAATCATCGTCCAAGTTCTTTTCTTTGAGCAGTTGCAGCTCCGGACCTCGATCGCGGGATGTTTCTTGTTTTCGGACAATCTTGCGGACGGGTCTAGACCGTTAAGAAGCGGGCCATGTGGGTCCCAGGAGGGCGGCTGGAACACGGCTGTGAGGGAGAATCAGGTTCTGAAAGTGGGAATGGATAGCATGAGGATGAGGGTCTCCGAGCTCGAAAAAGAGTGTTCGAACATGAAGCAGGAAATCGAGAAATTGGGTCGGGTTAAAGGGGGTGGGGGCGGGGGCGGGGGCGGGAGCTTGGGCAGCACCTGGGGCAACATGTCAAAGAAGTTTGGGTTCAAGATGAAGTCTCAGATGTGCAGTGCACAAGAGGGAAGTGTTACCAAGCAAAACAATGGAAATGGAAATGAAAAGGTTGAGAGGGTTAGAGAGAAGCAACAAAAGCACAAGAAGGATTTGTCTTGGGAAGGGTAAAATGGGAATAAAAAGTTATTATTTGTTTGCCAATTGTATCATTTCCGAAAATACCCTGTATTACAAAATTTATTTATTTACTGTATCTTATGTCGAGATCACTTTTTATGTACCCCTCTCTTACTTTCCGCCCATAAATTCTCATTTGAAATTATTAGAAGAATACTCGTGAAATGTAGCGGGATACATCTCGATTTTAATGTTTTATTTTATTCTTTGTTTGTCGATGTTATAATACGATTTTATGTGTTTTTAAGAAAACAATAATGATTTTATTTTTAAATAAAATATAAATTTAAAGATATCATAAAAATTTGAAGAAAAATATATATATCAATGTTAATATCAAATCAACTATTTAAAAGTTCTCATTTTTTATGTAATTTTTTAATTTTTTATGTAATTTTTTAATTTTTTTTATTATAATTTAATTTAAGTTTAATAATGAAATAATTTATTTTTGGTTTAATAAATATAACATTTTACAAAGATAATAATTAAGTATTTTGTTAGAACTTAATGATTATCCTAATTATATTTTAGATTTTCTTAAAATGAGATGTTTATTCTGTATTTTATTATGTTTATCTGCAGTTAGTTACACGAATTCAGATATGGAGCTTTAATAAGTTGTACTTACGTACAATCTACTTATAATCTTGAGTTTTAAGTAACATGCATTAATAGACAGTATTTTATTCATAAAAATTGGTTTTTAAGAGTTTTTGTCAAATGCTTTATAATATAGTATAGATTATATTATTAAAATATAAAAAAAATTCTTTTTCTTCTTTTCTGTTAATTTTATTTAGGGCTGTAAATGAACCGAACGTTCAGCGAACTGTTCGTGAACCGTTCGTCGGAAAATTCGTTTATGTTCATTTATTTAATAAATGAACGAACATGAACAAGAGTCTCGTTCGTTCATTTATGTTCGTGAACGTTCGTTTATATTCGTTCATTTATGTTCGTTTATATATTAAATTTAATATATAATATTTTGTTTATATACTTTGAATTCAAATAATATTTATTTATGTTCATTTAGCCCGTTCGTTTATATTCGTTTAGTCCGTTCGTTTATGTTCGTTCGTTTACGTTCGTTTAACATGTTAACGAACGAACATAAATGAACACGAACATACCTGATTTCTAAACGAACGAACATGAACACAAAGATTTTCGTTCGTTTACCGTTCGTGTTCGTTCGTTTGTTCGGTTAAGTTAAACAAACGTTCGGTTAAGTTAAACGAACGAACATGAACAAACCTCCGTTCGTATTCGTTCGGTTCGTTACAGCCCTAATTTTATTGACAAGTTAAAAATCAGAGTCCATCTTTTAGAAAAAAACACTACATTTAACTCGGGTTGTCTACGGCCTTTGTTAGCCGGCCATTTTGTTAGTTTTTAAAAATCAGGGTTTAATACGACAAGTTGTTAAAAGATGAGAGTCGATTTGGAGTTTGATAAAATCATTTTACAATTCACACATCACCCTCTGCAACCGTCTCATGAACTACTGTGTCCCCGCTCTTGGATCTGTTGATATCTCCGATTAACAATGGCGATGGTACCGGATTTGTTGTTTAATCTGCGAAATAATTTCTACTTAGGTGCATACCAAGCTGCCATCAACATCAGCGATATCAAAAACCTCTCGGAAGAGGATTCAATCGAACGAGATTGCCTTGTCTACAGATCATATATCGCCCTTGGAAGCTACCAAGTATGTGGTTTATTGTCGTCTATCTATTCTACTGATTCAATTTCTATTTGATTTGATCGGTTGTAATTTTTGGTCTTTGATAGCTTGTGATTGATGAAATCGATTCATCTGCGACGACGCCTCTCCAAGCCGTGAAATTGCTCGCTCTGTATCTTTCAATTCCCGAAAAGAAGGTGGGATTTCTTTTGATCAATTTCGTTAGCTCTTTTGATCGGTAAACATGTATGCACTAGGAATTTGTGGGATTTCTTTTAAGATGTTTTTTCTGTTCCATGGAAATTGTGATAATTTTCCCTTTTTGAATCTCATTAACATTGACACATTTCCTTTGTTGAAAGATGTTATTTGCAACTAGCATTGCTACAAAATGATTCCTTTGATTTTTATTTATTGTGTGATATATTATTAAACCAATAATTATACGATTTATTCAAAATACTTGATAAAGATCTAATCATTTTGTACACATCCAAGTCAGGAGCTTCAATGTTATAGGGATGAAGTAACTTTTAGGGTGTATATCTTTACTTGACGTTGCTGTCAAGATTTGAATTCGCAATCTATAAAAATGAGTTGGATTTTGACTTTTGAAATCAAACCTATGACTTTTCATAATCATGGTTGATATGCATTACGTAGAAGCTTAACACCAGCACTTGCTATGTTTAGTTTCTTTCTCTGATGTTTAATATAGCTATCAATTTGATTTTGATGGAAAATATCGACTTTGAAATTGATCATTCGCTCTTTGAGCTCAAGGCTGTTCCATTTTTCTGAATGAAGAAGTTAATTAGATTTTATGCCGTCACTTTGCTAGTAACAGTAAGCACCCCAATTGGCGGATTAATGCACATGCTTGGTGTAACACCCCCAAATCCATACATTGCATATAACACATATTTCATACATCGAATACATGTTTTAAACCCACATAGGTCCATAATACAAGAGTCTAAAATACAAAATACACAACTCAAAAATTCCAAATACAAAGTTCTTGCAAATGTAATTCCTATGAGTTCCTATCTTCCCGCATGCAAGTAAAAATAGAATCATAGTATGCCTTTCCTCTTATTACTATAGCTGGTAATACCTGCACACACATAATTGAAACACACAAAATGAGGGTTAGACAACAGTCTAGTGAGATCCCCCTTTTTCATGCAGTGTAGGGTGATAAACACCAAAACCTTTATCACAAATTGTGGCATAAAAACAGATTCTCCTTTGGTCCATCGGTCCTCTGGTCAAAAATCAACACTTAGAAAATTTGACGCCAAGAGGTCCAGAGCCCCTCTGGTTCCTATTCCAGAGCTTCTGGACAATACATGCACGCTCAACCAGAGCTTCTGGAATTGCGAGTAAGACCATCCAGAGCCTCTCCGGACTAGCGCTCAAGGCCATCCAGAGCGCCTCTGGACTATTACAAGGAAGTTCGCCAAGTATAAAAACATTTGAAAACTCTTTTAGATTTATGACCAAAGCTTCTGGTTCCTCAATCCAGAACCTCTKGTTCAAAACCAAAATATTTATAAAAGGCTTTAAGWTTAACAAGAGCCTCTGGTTCCTCAATCCAGAGCTTCCAATCTAAAATGAAGACCAACCAGAGCTCCTCTGGTCTATTTTTCGTAAAAGGAATCCAAGTATAAAAACTCTCAAAATGATTTTTATAAAGGAAGTTTAATACAGAGCTCTTATTTAGAAGATGCAGAGCCTCTGTATGCGGAAGTCTTATTTTAAAAGCAGAGCTCTGTATCTAGCGGATACAGAGCCTTTGCACAAAAACCCAATTTTTAATACAGAGCTATGTATTTAACAAATACAGAGCTTCTATGTGATAGACCAATTTTTGATACAGAGCTCTGTATCTAACAGATACAGAGCTCTGTATCTAACAGATACAGAGCTTCTGATTTTCACAACCGACTATGCAAAAACACTTGCATTGTTTTCAAACACTAACCAGATCCTTCTGGTTCTTTAAAATAAATACCAACCAAAGCCCTCTGGTTCCTTGACAGGTATACCCAGAGCCTTTGTGGTACCTCTGGTTCAACAGTATGATCAAAACAGTTTTATCCAAAATCCATGACCAAGGGCCATATTTTTCCCAATCCATAACATCAATACTATCATCTCTAATAAGAACAACATCTCTGAATCCTCAAATCACTAAGAAGTGAGAACTCCAATCTGTTGTATCCTAAGAGACATAATAGCAATAGTTATACAATGCACACACAACGACCATTCTTATTACATCCAGAATCCCCATCATAGCACAGCTATCACAAACCACACACGACCAACCTTATTTCCCCTGAAAATCATATGAAGTATTTCATCCAACTAACAGGCTACAATATTCCTGTTAGAGTGAACCTGTTCATAGTTTCATCAAAATCTGGTCCCCCCTACAGGTTTATGTTTCAAAACCTGATTGAACCATAAGAATACTCATGTTCTTTCCAAACAGCAATTCTGGTTCCCCCACAGGTTTATATTTCAAAACCCGATTGAACCATTAGAACACTCTTGTTCATAAATCATGGCTGTTTAAACTCATTTAGATCCTCAAAACAGAACCATAGATCAGTCTGTTTTAAAAACACCATCTGCCTTCTGGTTACCCAGAAACAGCAGCYAAAAACAGTAACAGCTTAACAGTTGTTTGAAACCAGTCTAACATCTTCCAAATTAAGATCAAAACAGTTTATATCACAAACACATGAGGAGTTTAGTTTCAAAACCACTCACCTTTCCCAAAACAGATTCACCAGCAAACAACAACTTTTAATATGAAACAGGTTCTGTTAAAAACAGCTTCTGTTTTAAGGTCTTTGATCAATCAGCTTTTTGCACAAAATTCCACTCTTCTTTCCACAGAAATTCTTTGAGATGCAAATGGTAAGGGAGGATTCTTACCACATCTCTCTTTAAATAGCCACACACAGGTGGTTTTTAGAAAACAGGCAGTGGAAATTTACTTCATAGACAAGCAAACACAAATACTTGGTCAAGAAGGCTTCTTAACAGCATCATACAAGCTGCTTACCAAGGTGCTTGTATGCTGCTTCCATTTATGTGGACAAAAATCATTCAACAGCATCATACAAGCTGTTTACCAAGGTGCTTGTATGCTGCTTCTAATTATGTGGACAGAAATCATTCAGCAGCATCATACAAGCTGTTTACCAAGGTGCTTGTATGCTGCTTCCAATTATGTGGACATAAATCATTCAGCAGCATCATACAAGNCAGCAGCATCATACAAGCTGTTTACCAAGTTGCTTGTATGCTGTTTCCAATTATGTGGACAGAAATCATTCACACCACATACACATATAATCCATTTTATTTAGCATGCATAATCACATACTTCCAATTAATTCATGCTTATTAACACATAAACACATAATGTACCTTAACCTAATATGTCTGAAAGCCTGGTTATCACATT